TGCCCATGGTATTAGAATTAGCAGAGAACATAACTACAATTGAACGAAATATTTTATTTAAAAAATAGTTGTGATAGAAACTTCTAGGAACCAGGATGTGAAGAAGAAAAGCTAAGGGAAGGCATCCAACATCAAGCAAAACAAGATTGAAGGCAGTATGATAGATTTATGTTGAGAAAATGATTTGACCTACCAACCAACCCAGAAGAGCTGAATCTTTACCAATACCCAAAAAGTGGTCCTTGATAAAAGCATGTTGATGGACATGGGTGACTTTTGGTTTTAGAACTGCAAAAGCATCAGGATTATAGTAAGACCAAAAAGAAAAACCAAACCACATAAACATGTTAGGTGAACCAAGCAGAGACCTTTCCAGCGCAAAAATCAACTCAAGAGTTCTTTTTAGAATTTATTCACACAGCTCTTCCAATCTCAAATTATTTCACTTTTCATGGGATTTCATTTATATGGGGATGTATCAAGAATTTAATGATGATATACATCCAAAATGACCAGAAAATATTAGTGTTAAATGGTTACCTTGTTCGGTATCGTAATTCTCTTTTGCAATAGAATCCTCCCAATGCTTCCACTGACGAATCTATATCATTACACAGAATTAAAACTGAGATCAAATAGTTAATGATAACTATCAGAAAATAAGCCTACTAGTTGCTTACCTTCAATCCTCCAAAAACTACAGTGAGAACGCAAAATGACACGTGGACGATAGCTAGGATGAATATAAAAATATGTAAATGATGTAATGCTTCAAGTGATAGCAATGGCACCTTATTCTGGAGAGGAGAAACATATAAATGAGAGAAGTCAAATTAAAATCAATTCATTAAGACTAAGATATTTGTAGAGGAAGAGTAATGAAGCCAAGATAATGTAAGACACCAATAAGACAGACGTGTGAATTGTGGATACAACCTCAATTTCCACGACAAAAGGCCATAAAAATATTTATATTACAATTGATTTTATTTGCTAATACTTGAAATAGAAATCATTTTAAATTGATTTTGTGCTTGGTAAACCCATTTAGAATCAGAATTTTTTTAAAAAAAAATACAGTACACTAGAGTTAATATTTACTTTTTCTGACACTTGGAATGAAAATTTGTTCCATATAATATCCATCACAAAAATAAAGATAGAAGGAAATAATTTAACAAAAAAAGAAAGAAAAAGGCAAGAGTTTATAAATTTAAAAATCAAAGTAAGATTCTTTACCTTTTTTAAGAGAATCTCATTCCCCTAAAATTATGACTTTGATCTCTAATTTGGTGGGAGACACAAGTAAGGTATCATATAACCAGGAGACACATACGAATCATGAATAATACTTTCTTCCCCCACCTCCAATCCCCCAAATATATATATATATATCATATAAGAATGTGGTAGAATGATTCTCATTCCTTCATTGACAAGTAAACACAGACTCAAAGTTTACTCTCTTCAAATTGGCAAGTATTCTATTCCATCAAGTCTACCTGGGATACAGTGGTATCATAATTATTCTCACCTAACCCTTAAATGATAGCCCAATGTGTTTTCCATCCTTAAACCTTGAAGCAGAGGAAAATAAATATTTTTTCTATAAAAAAAACATATTGGAAGAAAAGCACAATAAACTTTATATGTTTTCCATCCCCAAACTTTCCACAAAACTCAATGAATTTCAAACTTGTACAATACCATCAAATGTATAGAACAGTAAGCAATGAACAGAATCAAACAACTCCAGTACTATAATCTAATAAATATTCATTCAATACACCATTTAAACATAATTGAGCATCAATGGTGAGCATAATTGAGATCGCTAGGTTAATCTTCACCTTTTTAGCACAATAACCAGCCTGTGCAGCCGATCCCTCAGATAGAAGGCGCCTGGCCGAGCCAGAAATACTCGTTACAAAGAACGTTTGAAAATGTTTCGTCGTTGACGAACCAGTTTCACCAGAGTGCGAATCGTGTTCAGCTTTAGCTTTATCCTTCAGATTACACGGAAGGAAATGCTCAGTCAAACTCTCAGGAACACATAATTTTGAGATAACGCCTTGAAATACAGTGAGCAGAAGCGAAATAAACCCCAAAAGCATCAATTCTGCAGCATCCAAATTCCAAAATAAGGACAGAAAATTCAACAACCTAAACAGTAACACAGCAAAATTCGAAAAGCGAAAAGGCAAATACACACACACACAAGAATGAACAGGAGAAAGAAGGAAGCAAAAGGAAAATCAAACGGACTATGGATTCAGATTCGGAATCAAATCGAACCTTCTTTAACTTTCTGAAGAGCTTCATAGAGCGGCTTCTGGTTCTTTTTCTTGAGGTATTTTCCGAGGAAGTGTAAGAGGCGCTCTAAGGCGAGGGAAATGGCGACGATGACGGTACAGACGGCGGCAACAACCCACGTCGGGGTAAATTCCAGCGTCGTTCCTTCACCTCCGCCGCTCATTTCGGCTCTGTTTCTTCACAGACTTCACTTCACTTCACTTCACTCAGCTGAGAAGATTATCAAAATGAAAAGAAAGAAAGAAAAAGAAAATTCCTCCGGGTTTCAACCTGCTCTGAAAGCTCCGTGTTGTTCGTTACAAATTGTTGTCCTTAAATTTATACAACAATTTATAATATATTATTAATCTACGTAGAAATTAATTCCATCTTTTTTAATTCTCCACGTTGCAGGTTTATAATTTTATTTTATTAATTCTTAAATTCATCCATATTTAAGAACACATTCTACCCCTAGTTAACTCATGTTGGTTGGTTGGTTTGTTTGTTTTTCTTAATAACAAATGTGAGGGCTCGGATTTCAAAGTTCGACCTCGAATTATGTTCATGTTTGTCTGGTTGACTAATATTATAATACTTTTTATGTTTGTAAATGTTCGAGTTAGTTTATATCCTCCTTCATTAATGATCTCAGGTTTCGTATTAATCTAGGTGGCTACCATAATTCGAGTAAAGATGATCATCCAAACTAATTCAAATAGGATTCTATAGGGTCGTTCTGCCTTTCAACTTTGAATCCAGGTGAAATGACCCTGATTAGGGACGTTGTTGCATTAGAGCATCTATTCTCTAATTTAGATGAAGGTGGTCGTCCACATGAACATTCTTGTTCATCTCTAAGAACTCCAACTTGAATTACATGAAGTTCGAATTTAAATTTGTTAAGAATGAAAAAGCTCGAGGTTAAACTGGGACATGAGCGTAAGAACATGGCGGCCTCAAGGGCTGCTCCTCTCGTGGTCAACCTCCACGAATCCATGTTTTTTTTGAGTCCCACACGTTTTAAATCATTTTATTTATTTATTTTTAAAATCATTTTTTTAATTTTTAAAAATCCATTTTGGAATTTGGATAAATAGTGATCTCCACTCCCAATTAATGACAAGATTTGTCCAATCAGGGGGCCCACAACTTGTTTGAGATTTTTTCTTTTTCAAAAATGGATAATTATTAGCCTGACTTTAAAGTGAAAACTTTTTAAAATTCAAATCCGATTGGATAAACTTTATCTTAAATTGATTCATTATTTAACTAAAATTTCAAATATTTATTTTAAAAATGAATATAAGTTAAATGGATTCATAAAATATCACTAATATAGATATAATATAATATTTAAATTCATTTTATTACGTCTTTATTAATATATTTATTATTTTTTTATATTTATAATTTTTCTAAAAATATCTATTAACTCCGATCTTTTTCGTAAATATGATGATTAAAACTACTAAATGAAACAAATCCTACCAAATATATAAGCGAAGATAAAATATGTTGAAATGACTCAAGTTGGTATGTGGAGACAATTTTCACTCTTAGAAGCGAGAGGTAAGTAACTTGACTATATTGTAAATGATGCATCAGAATGTCATAAAACATTAGGGGTCGAATCCAATTTTTTTTTTAGAAATTCAGTATTTTAAAAAATCATGAATTTGTAATTTAATTTTTTAAAAAAATCAAGAAAAATTGTTCTTGAATCTATATTTCCTAATTTCAATCCCTTCCCATTAGTTCTTATTTGTTTGTTAATAATATAAAATAAAAGGAACATAAATATTATTATTTTCTTTATATTGAAAAAATAGAAAAGGAAAAAATTAGTTTAAATTTTTATTAAAAGGAAGAGAAAATCCAATTACAGTAAGTTTGCAAATTAGGATTTCTTCTATGCAAAGTAATTCTTTGTCACGTGCGCGTTTCGATGACCGTGCGAGGAACATAACTATTTTCTTAAATTAAAAAAAAACATAAAGGGATTACTTTACTTCTACTCATAGTCTTAGATTAAAACTTTAAATTTATTAATTAAAAGGTTTAAAGTTGGAATTAATTTTTAAAAAAGTAATTTAAACTAATTTTTATTCTTAAATAGGATTATTTTATTGCATCAACGTTAAAATATCTGAACACGTTAAATACGTTGGTTGCTAAAGTTATATAACAAAACCATAGTAATTTAAATGGGCCTAGCCCATCAAAATTCTCTAGTTTGAGGCCCAATATTTAAAGTCTACGTAATGAGCTAGGCCCAAATTAAATCTAACTAATACTAAATAGATGTATTATAAGACAGCTGGCTAACATTGTCTTTTTTGAGCTATTTCTTTTCCGCTATCTGGTTATGTGTCCACCAAGGAGAGTTTCTACACTCTTGTAAAGAATGTTTCGTTCTCCTTTTCAATCATTGTAGGATCTTACATGTGCATATTCTATTACTCATATCTCGATTTCAACTTAGAATGCGATGAACCACTGAACCAGAGTGAAAATTGGGCTGGACCAAACTAAAATCGAGCGTTGAATCGAACCAAGTCGAACGGTCTTGATGGTGTCATTACCTTTTAAAGTAAATAGTCATATGTTCAAGAAAAGGGTATTGAAATGATGATATGGATGGTAAAAGATTCCTTCCCTTAAAGTCAATTGTTTAAAAAAAACACAAAATGGGTTGTTTTGTTTGTGGGAATTGAAAAGGAAGCATTAAAAAACCCAAAAGAAAAAGGGTTCCATGAAAAGAAAACACCAAAAACAAAGGCTTCAAAGAGAAGAGTTTGAGTAAACAAACACTGAAAGGAATTGATAGTAATGAGGAGAAGAAACCTTGAATTACCTCTCTTCCTTCTCTTCTTCTCTTCTTCTTTGAAAAGTTGGTTCCTTTATGGGTTCCCCATAAGAGCCCATCTCTTCATCTATGCAGGCTGTTCTAATGAGAAATACCAACAAAATTCCCAATTTGAATCGAATTTCAACTCCTTGCTATCATCAATGGTGTCCTCATCTTCCCAAATGACCTACAATGGCTATGCCATTGGCAATGACTCCTCAGCCCAGTCTGAGGGAGCCATTTTTGGGCTCTATCAATGTAGAGGGGACATGGCCATAACTGATTGCTCAAAGTGTATACAGAATGGAGTGAACCAAGTTCACTTGGCATGCCCTTATTCTTATGGGGCATCCCTACAATTGGAGGGGTGTTATGTGAGATATGAGCACTTGGATTTCTTGGGGAAGTTGGACACTAGTGTGAGGTTCAAGAAGTGTAGCTCGAGCTCGAGTAATGATGTCGAGTTCTTTCGAAGGCGGGACGACGTGCTTGGTGATATGCAGGTCGGGGCGGGGAATGGATTTAGGGTTAGTAGTTCAGGGTTGGTGCAAGGGTATGCTCAGTGTTTGGGGGATTTGAGTTCACAAGATTGTTCTTCTTGCCTTGCTGATGCTGTTGGAAAGTTGAAGAGCTTGTGTGGATCAGCTGCTGCTGCTGATGTCTTTTTGGGACAGTGTTATGCTCGCTATTGGGCATCTGGCTTCTACCCTAATTCGTCTGGTAAGCCTTGCTTTCCAAAAACTAGTTCATTATTCTTTTCTATCACTTTCGGTGAGTTCCAACGTCGGTTGGAGAGGAAAACGAAACATTCATTATAAGGGTGTGGAAACCTCGAGACTAACGATGATACGTAATGGGCTAAAGCGAACAGTATTTATTAGCGATAAGCTTGAAATGTTATAAATGATATTAGAGCCAGACACCGAGCAGTGTGTTAGTGAGGTCACTGGGCCCTAAGAGGGGTGTATTGTGAGATCCCACATTGGTTGGAGAGGAGAACAAAACATTCCTTATAACGGTGTGAAAGCCTCTCCCTAGCAGATGTATCACAAAACTGTGAGGCTGACGGCGATACATAACAGGCTAAAGCAAACAATATCAGATAGCGGTGGGCTTGAAATGTTATAAATGATATTAGAGCCAGATACTGGGCAGTGTGTAAGTGAAGACTCTGGCCCCTAAGGGGGTAGATTGTGAGATCCCACATCGGTTGGAGAGGAGAACGAAACATTCCTTATAAGGGTGTGGAAGCCTCTCCCTATCAAGACGCGTTTTAAAACCGTGAGGCTAACAACAATACGTAACGGCTTGAACTGTTACAAATGGTATCAAAACCAGACGCTGGAGGGGGATTGTGAGATCCCACATCGGTTGGGGAGGAGAACAAAACATCAAAACATTCTTTTTAAGGTTGTGGAGATCTCTCCCCAGCAGACGTGTTTTAAAACCGTGAGGCAGACTAAAACACTTTTTCATAAACTAGTGGGGGGTCTTTTTCTTAAGGGCGTTCTCAACTCATCGATTATGTTTGCATAACCTAAAAGTCGAGCCTATGTTTAATGCCCGAGAATTAGGCACGCTTTTATACCAAAGAAAAACTCATATACGATACAAAGTTGTGAGTTGTTTGATCGTGAGTTAAAAATAAAATAGTCATGTGAATAGATTCGAAGTTTTGAATGTTCTACCAACATCTAGACCTCTCATTTCATTTGGTGAAGATGAAGACGAGAGTGTTCTAGAGAGATGTAAAATGGGTCAACAAGTAATTCTTTTAATAAAAAGAAAAAAAAGATTTAAAGCATTCCACTTTAATTTGTGTTCTTTTTAGGCATTGTTTTTTCCATTGGTGCTATCCCCTACTTATTCCTGCTACCTCAACCTTTTGTTCTTCTTTATGTTCCTTTCACAATAAAGCTATCTTAAAATTGCATTTTTCCAAGGCCCTTTTCCAAATCTAAACAAAATTATTGGGTTGGTATTGAAAATAGTGTTTCACCCAATTTTGTTCAAATGACATTCTCCATATTTTGGATCCAAAAAGCTCCCACTTACCCCCAAAAAGGGGTTGATTTCAGAACAATCCCCAATTTTATTCAAAATTCCATTGAAGTGAAATTTTGGGCCCATCAAATGATGTTCTTTCTTCCTGTTATCTCGATTTTTAAATCAGTTTAAAATAATTGTACTCTAGTTTCTTAGCACCGAAAATATTTGAATTCGAGGTCAAATTCCAAAGATAAAAAATTTTGGATTTTGAAAATATGTCTACAAAAAGTAGATATCAAACCGAAGAAACTATAGATAAAAGTAGTGAAAACGATAAGAATAGACTAAATAAGAGTTATTCATTAAAAATAACCCGTGTCTCTTAAAAACAAAAAAATGAAAACGCTACCGAACCCATGTGTCGAAATTTTGTTTACCTCCCTCAAAAACCCAAACATATCTTGATCTTGCTTTTACTTTTTAGATTAAAAGTTTTAGTGGGAAACTTTTCCTAAGCCATAAAGTTCACAAATATAGGGCCACATTTTATGTGCTTTTGCATTGTATATACATAAGATGCAGCCTCTTTAGCTCAAGCTTCAAACAACAATCCTTCACAAAACTATAAATTCTCATTCCAGTTTCTTCGAGCGACGACCAAGCGGGAAAGACCATTGCGATCATCATCGGCGTCGTTGCTGGTCTCGCCATCCTTGTTGTTCTCCTCTCAGTTTGCAGAAGAGCCATGGGTAAATAAAAATCAAAACTTTGCCTCTCTTCTAGTTCATGTCAAGTTTGCAAATAATTTCATTTTTTTGTTTTGTTTACAAGTCATGATTCTTTGTGAAATGCAGAAAGCTGAGAGGAGAAGGGAGAGATTTGTGCTGTTTTTGCTTTAATGGAGAATATATATCATGGAGAGAGATGAAAGTTTCCCACCAAAAATGTTTATTAAAAAATATTATTGTGATGCCACTCTTATCTTCAACATACCCTTTTTCTTTGGGATTGGGTCATTTTGCTTTTTGGGGCCTCAATTTTGAAAATATTCATATTGTATGATGAATTGAAAGAAAAAATTGCAAGTGGGTGCTATCTTCTAGTGTTAAGTGCCACTCTCTAAATGTCATCAACTTGAAAAGGGCTGTAGATTCCCTTTGATCTCTTCGTGTTCCTCAACAAAAACCCAACCTACCCATTTATTAGGTTGATTTATTAATGTTATGGAAGAAACGTGAGATATTATAATAATCCACCTCACTTAGACTTTTAAAATTGTCAATTTAAGTCCTTGTTGATGATATAACAATGAAATAGGTTTTCAACGTATCAGTTGGAGAGAGAAACGAAACATTACGAACATTTCTTATGAAGATATGAAAAAACTTGCCTGCATATCTACGGTCCGCAGATATGGTGACACAAATGTTTCAAAGATTTAACAGCAACATTCGACCGACCATAATCATGTTAGAAATCACAAATCTCCACAATGGTAGATATTGTCCACTCTAAGCACAAATGCTCACAAATTTCCACAATGATATGATATTGTCCACTTTGAGCCTAAGCTCTCATAAATGTAGATGTATTCCTTACTTATAAACCAATGATCATTCCTAAATTAGCCAATGTGAGACTCTCCAAATAATCATCTTCTCGAACAAAGTACACTATAGAGCCTATAGAGACTCCCCCAAGGCCTATGGAGCCCTCAAACAACCTTCCCTTAATCGAGGCTCGACTCCTTCTTTGAAGTTCTCAAACAAAGTACACCCTTATTCGACACTTGAGGATTATATTGACACAACTAAGTTAAGGGCAAGACTTTGATACCATGTTAGGAACCACGACTCTTCACAATAGTACAACACTTTGAGCCTAAGCTCTCGCAGTTTTGTTTTTTTGTTTCTCCAAAAAGTCTGGATGCCAATGGAGATGTATTCTTAACCTATAAACTCAAGATTATCTCTTAAATTAGCCAATATGACTCCCTCCTGACCATTCTCAACCAATCAAATAAGCAGTTCACTAAATAATCAGAGATATGTAGAAATGAGCCAGCATTTCGCAGATTATAAACCAATCACCTGAATCTGTTAATTAGGATGTCTCAAATTCTCATTAAGAGCATCAAGCAACGTTCGCTTAGTCTCTTCCAGCAATGGCAAATGAGATAGAGAAATACACCAAATGAAACGAGAGCCAGCTGCATGCACTATCCCTCCACCCTTTCAACGATATAGTCGTGCCGTTTCATTGGCAGGAACGATGGCAGGAACAATGCCAGCAACACGTTTATGCATATCTGAAAACAACAGTTGGACATAATTTTTCATTCCATGTAACCCAGATTTCATTAAGAGAAAGAAGAGTGCAAAAGGTGACCACAAAAACATTGGCCAAGATCACATAAAGGAGCCACCAAAAACGAATTATGAAAGAGCTCCAATTGTTTGTGTTAAAAAGAAAAATGAAGTCGCATTATAACTTCGTATTATGAACACAAGGGAAGCATGAAGTGTACAAAACTTTTGAACTTCTCCAAAAATCCCTCTCTAAATCCTCCAACACGCCCAGCTATACAACTTTCGAGTAGTTGGAAATTATCATTAATAGTTATGAACTTGGAACACTTGAACTGACCAGTTATATCTTAAATGGGGAACTATAGAATAGAAGATGCAATTGGATAAGTTAATTTCAGCTAGTGTTTACATGGATGAGAAAAATCAAATTTTAGAGGGAAGAGTGGATAGAGTGGCCAAAAAATAAAGCTATGCATTTGATTCAAGGTATAGCTTTAACAAGAAATAATTTGTTTAGCAAGGGAGGGAAGAAATTGTACGAACCAGAGGAAAGAATATGTCCACGTTGATGTAATGATAAAACAACTTCACCCACTGCCAACGTTGCACCATAGCGCATGCACAAATCAGATGAGAGAGTGTAAGAAATTAACTTCTCTATAGCATAGCTTGGAAAAGTAGGGGAGGAGAACAAACATTATTTATAAGAGTGTACAAACCTTTCCATAGCAGAAGCGTTTTAAAAATTTTGAGAGAAAGCTCAGAAGTCCAAAGAAAACAATATCGGTTAGCGGTGGGCTTGGGCCGTTACATTTTTCAAGGGCAAAAAGGACATTTGCAACCAGTTCTCTCAGACCTTTATCCTGAAACATGCAAACCATGAAACTGAGAAAACACGTCACAGGGTTTACTGCTAAATAGAAAATGAGCTTCTCATTTTATGAGTAACGATTGCAAACACATTTGACAATAAAATTCTGTCTGCGATGCTTATCAATCACAAGGGTTGAAGAGTGGGAAATATCCCTCAATTCTAAAACTTATATGTGCCAATATCCTAAAAAATGAATTGTGTATAGACAACTATGATCCCAACTTCAAACCATTGAGTGTAGAAAAATCAAAGACCTTCTGGTTAAAACATCAACGAAATCAAGAATGAGCAAAAGTATTATGACTAGGGAAAGAACAGCCAAAATGGAATTAATCTTCTTTCAACAAATTTCTCAATCCATCAACTTCAAAATTTGCACAAGCACATTATATGTTAATCAACACCTATCAGGTAATGCCTAGTACAATTCTTGAACAAAGGCAATTAAAGAAATTAAACATTGTCTAAATCCTATGTTCTTTTATGGTTCTACCACATTCTCACTAACATAACAGAACAGAATATCAGAATTCTATATATTGTCATGTGCCAAAGCTACAGACAAATTTAAGGATCATAATGCACCAAAAGTTTAATATTAATAGAGCGCATGAGCAGGAACAAAAAATTTACAAAGAGATACATCTATAAAATTAATTTTAAAATGAATTTCATTAGAAAGAATAGAAAAAAACAGTATGTTGGAAAAATTAAAGAATACCTAATAACATATTTTGTTGCACAGTAGTTTATCAATAAATGGAAGGAGACACCCCTCGTATCGAGCTATACACAGAAACTTTCAGATATTAAGTTACTCGAGACGCAAGTGAAAAATAGTCGGCAGTATTCACTCTATCAATGCCATGTGGATTATTCCCTTGTCTTCTAACATTTTCGTGACTTGAAAAGCTGTTGGGTGAAACCACTCCGTAGCGGACACATTTTTAAAATCTTGACGAGAAGTCCAAAAGAGAAAGCTCAAAAAGAACAATATCTGCTATCAATAAGCTTGAGCCGTTACAAATGGTATCAAAGTTAGACACTGGGTGGTGTGTCAGCGAGGACATTAGGCCCTCAAGGGTGGATTGTGAGATCTCACATCGGTTAGAGAAGGGAACGAAACATTCCTTATAAGAGTGTGGAAACTTCTCCCTAGCAGACGCGTTTTAAAACCTTGAGGTGAAGCCTGAACGAAAAAGGCCAAAGGCAACAAATATTTGCCAACAGTGAGCTTGGGTCGTTACACAATAATAGTGGTGTGAATAGGAACAATAATTCCACTGTTAGGTATTGGTCGAAAATTAAAATTAAAAAGTTTACAGTTTAATACCTCACGATCATAACAAGCAACTGTGAGAAGACGTGGAGCAAGTTGCTTCAAAATCTCTCTCATGTCTGTGCGATGGTAGGCACGGCCAAATGCTCAACACAAACATATGAAACAGCAAGGAAATATTTCAGGAAATTTCATCACGTTCATGAGAACCAGCACTAGGTGGACCTCTTCGAATATCATAATGTAATGCCTGCCAGGAAGTTTAACCCTTCATCAGAATAAAACAGCAAGGAAATATTTCAGAAAATTGGTCCAGCTCCCAGAATCTTGATTCCTGAAACAGAACCACCTTCACCAGCGACATAAATAACCATTAGGACCCCCACCATAGCCATCTTGGCCTCCAGCCTACCGCCATGCCATTAAATTCATATCATCTCAAACACCACGTCTTCCTCTTCACAGATGTAATGAGGAAACACTTCAGAGAGAAAACAAGGAGGCCAGTACACATCTCTACTAGAAACCCTATCCACCTCGCTGACTAGATTGCAGCTGTTTTTCAATCAACATTACCCAAATTTTGAAATATCCCGAATAAACCAATGATTTTATTCTCATTTCCATAGATCTCGTAATCTCCACAGACGTAATAAATTACGAACTCAAAAGCAACTGGTCTTTTAACTTCCATAAACTAATTGAGTCACAACTTTCACTTTAATCAAATAAATAGTCTAGTCAACAAAATGAAAGTTAATTAGACCAGAGCTATAAGCTAAACAGGCACCAATTCACAAAAAAAATTCCAATCCACAAATGAGATATGCGATCTTGAAACAAAATGGAAAAAGAGTTTCGGAAAAGATTACAATGGATCGGATATTGTGGACGGATGAGATGCCGGAGACTCGTTCATTTGAAACGATGTAGTCGAGAATGGACTTAAACAAGCTTCCATTCTTGAAGGAAGTACTTATGGATTACCCTCTCCTTGGATTCGTGCTCGTTATCGTCGTCGTATGTTGTCATTCCGTCGAACTCGTCCTTCTTGGGGCTGTTGCTGTCGTTGCCGCCATGTTCAGAGAAGTAAAAGCTCAGTTCCCGCCCGCTTCACTGAGCTTTGAAGTATATATATATATACTTCTGATGTACACTTAGTTTTTCACCCAATTAAAAATCCATTTAAATGGTATTTCAAAAAAAAAAGTCATTTAAATAACATTTTCTTAAACCTTCGAATATAAACATAATAATTGACCTATTAAATTATTTATAGTCCAAATATTTAAGTTTTATATTCAAACATATAAAATTATGTCACTCATTAAATAATAAAACTTAGCAATTTAAGAAAGTATTGAAATTATTTATTAATCACTATGAATAGAACTTTAATTTTTTTTTAAAAAAAATAGACAAATAATGAAATTGGAAAAGTATTTAGATTTGGAGAGAAACGAGGAGGAGAGTTTCTCTCTCTTCGAATCCTCTCCACAGGTCGTTGCGCTCTCCCTTCACCAGCAAGCATTCAGCAATTTCTTCATCAGATCTACACTCTCCACCGCCCTCATTCTCAGGTTTGCCTCTTCTCTTTCTCGTTATCACTTTCAGAACGCCGATTCTCGATCACTTTCTCCTTCCTGGTTCGTCTTTGTTTTGCATTAATCGATAAGCTCCAATTCTAGATCTGGCGTAGTGATGGGGAGGGGATTTTTTTCTGCTAATTTCCAATTGATGATCTCAGCATGCAATGGAGTTTTTTTTTTCTGCTAATTTTTTGTTTGAATTGGAGCGAAACAAATTCGCGCGCGTAAATTCTATTTTATGCGCTATCGAGAGTGAAACTAAGCTGTTTTGAGGGTGTGAGTTCGGTTATTCTTTCGTTCTGTTGAATGTGAACGGAGTATTGATTTCTGGAAGTCATTTTGTTAGCTATTATTTATTGCAGTTGAACATGCCATCGGCTCAAGATCCGTTCTATGTTGTAAAAGACGAGATTCAAGAATCTGTAAGTTGGTTGCTTGCATCTTGTTATGATTACCTACTGTGCTTGAATTATGCTCACCGACTTATTTAAATCAAGCTCCTTTGAAGCATGTTCTTTTTTTTCTGCAATATTGATTTGGTTGTTAAAAGAAAAAGAGTGTGAATTAGAACAGGGAGATTGGAGAGTGGAAATAGCGATAAAGTTTGAAGCTATATTCGCTTGCTGCAAAATGAACCAATATCAACAAACGAGACATGATGAAAATTCTCATACAAAAATGTCAAAATACAAATATAACTAGAACTACCAAACAATGTGGAGACTGGAATGCACATTAAATCACAACGTTTGTAGCAACTGCCAGTGTTTGGAGTATTTCGGTAGAGAACAAATATGATTGCTGTAAATGGAACCTTCTCCTTTCACTTGCTGACATCTTGTAGATCCTGATGAGATTTTTTCTTATCTCCAAAAATATATCCTGTCATTTGTATCTAGTATTTCTGTCAACACGAATATTCTGTGTGAATAGACGAACATGGCATCCCAATACCCAGCATTCCTTGAACAGGCATAAGTTACGGTAGACTACATGAAGGATATTGTTTGAAGGTCTGATTATGTCTTATTCTAGAAAACAATCGAATGCCTCATTGTTAAGCCTGTTCTACATTTCTAGATCGAATATTGATGAATGATTATTACTAGTTCCAGATGAAAGTATTATGAATTCCTCAAAAAAAATTATTGACAGATCTGCATGATCCAGTTTCTTGTTTCCAAATCATGAAATCCTAAAAGAAAAAACTAATGTTGGAAGTTCTCTGACTTGATTCTGACATCCATAAAGTGTTGATTTACATTGGTGCTTGAACAGACGATTTGATCTTTCAGACCTTTGCTTCTCTAGTAATTATTTTTGGTCGCAAATAATTTATTTGTGAATTACATGTTGTTTTTGAAGTCAATGTTGGTTTTCTACCACTTTTTTTGGCTACATGTGTATTTTTTATAATGTGTTTTTTTTTTTATCTCTATCAGATCGATAAAGTGCAATCCAGCTTTCACCAATGGGAAAGGATATCTTCTGATCCAGGAGAGAGAGCACAACAAACAAAAGAGTTGCTCGCTTCCTGTGAGAGTATTGAATGGCAGGTAAGTTCTCAATTTCTAAACCATGTTGTCTGCTTCTTTTATCTGTTGTGCAACTTAATTTGTTCTGGGGCTTCAATGTGTGACTAAGCATGATTCAATATGTTGCTACTGGTGCTTCTAATTTTGTCTAGTGACATAAGCTTTCTTGATAGGAAGGTGGACGAATTGGACAAAGCTATTGCTGTGGCAGCTAGAGATCCTTCTTGGTATGGCATTGATCATGCGGAACTTGAGAAACGAAGGAGGTGGACGAGTACAGCTAGGATGCAGGTATTACTTGTCTGGCTTTCTTTTTTTTTTTTTTTTTTTTTTTTTTTTTTTTTTTTTTTTTTTTTTTTTTTTTTTTTTTTTTTTTTTTTTTTTTTGCATCAACAGTTGAGTTAAAATAAAGTAATAAACAAGTTTGCAATCCTTGTTTTTTCCATATAGTTATTGATGTGCTTCTTGTGGTCCTACGGTTATACCACTGAAGTTTATTTTCAAATATGTTAAGAAATTCTTTGTCCAAAGCCATTATAAAGACTAAAATATTCAAGTAATATGTCCATTTCTTCTAATTAGTTTGAACAGAGCTTCTCTTATGCATTTATTTTGTTACTTTACTAGGTTGGAAATGTTAAGAAAGTAGTAGGAGCTGGAAAGGAGCAAACTGGAACTGCTAGTGCAAGTGGGATGCGTCGAGAATTGATGAGACTACCCAATGCACTTGAAACAGAAGAATCAAACTTATATTCAGCCCACCAAGAAAATGATGACTTCATCTCATCCGAATCAGATAGACAGCTGCTTCTAATAAGGTAATGTATATATTTCTTACCCGGGTTGTTAACAGAATCCTCCTGCTTAAGTGGAAACCTATCTCTAAATCAAGTATGATGATGAAGTACAAGAATAACATAATAAAATTTATGTAGAGTAGAGTACTTGTCAACTCACCTGGATTTTGATCCCCTGCAAAATGTGTATTCATAGGCAGCAGGACGAGGAGTTGGATGAATTGAGTGCGAGTGTGGTGAGAATTGGAGGTGTTGGGCTCACAATACATGAAGAGCTCCTTGCACAGGTGTACATTCTGTAGGTTGCAGTGCTGCTAATTGATTCTCTCTATACATCTGCAGTCTGATGAACTTTCTAAGACTCAAAAAAATCTTTCTATGCAGGATAAAATTATTGACAACCTAGGGATGGAAATGGACAGTACATCGAATCGTCTTGATTTTGTTCAGGTGTGTTCATGATCTCAATGCTGGTCATATGCACGAATATTAGCTTAAGATTCACAATAATGAGATTCTGAAATCTTTAGCAGTAATCAAATCAAATGGGTTTTTTCTAGAAAAAAAAAAAAAAAATCTATTTTGGTTGTTCAGCTCTGAAGTTGTTCTATTTTATTCCTTGAACTTTCAAATTTGTTTAATTTTGGTCACTTAACTTTTAAAAGGTTTATTTTAGTCTTTAGACTTCCAAAAAAAAGAAAAAACCATTTTGGTCCTTGCCTTTATTTTATTTTTAACAAACTAATGACAAATATGTGTATCAACACGAGATTGAAACAACGAGCCTTTGACTAGTGGATATTAGATGGAAATAAAATATAGCAAGGACCAAAATGATTATTATTTCAAATTTCATATATTAAAATAGATATTTTAAAAGTCTATGAACTAAAGTAGAACAAATTCGAAAGCTTAGTGAGTGACCAAAATGGTATTTAAACATTGCTTTCCCCTTTTATCTTGTATGGAACCTTACAGAAAAAAGTAGCTGTGGTGATGAAGAAGGCCAGCGCCAAGGGGCAGATAATGATGATATTATTCTTGGTAGCTTTGTTCATCATCCTTTTTGTGTTGGTGTTCCTCACCTAGTTTTTGTTCATCATAATTCACACGAGGCATCATCCAGCCTTTATCTTTGTTTTGAAGTTTCTTTGATAGAGTTGGTATACCTTAATTTCTTGTAATTATAAATCTCTACAGGTTTATGATNGTCGTTAACGCATTATACTTTTTTACCTAACGTTATCACGATGGTTTATAATTGTGCTTAAACAATTTGAGTATGTGGTTGACATAGGGAAGAATCGTATTCAATTAATAACCTAAAGGGTCTATAATATATGAATAAGGTTGAGTGTCTTATCCTAGTACGTTATTGATACTTTGTAATTGATACAAATGATTTGATTCAAATCGTTCATGCATAACATATGAATTCGCATAAAACTAGATAACAAAATATTAATCTCTATTATAACTCTATAATGAGTCGTGATTTACTTTGAGCAATTGTAGGGTGACCTCTTAAGAATCTTCTTAGAAAGCACGTGAGCAAGAACAAAGCAATCTAAAATAGCTAATGTTAGACCGTGATGATAGTATTCACTCTTAGAACCAAAAAGTAGATCACGCGAAATATGCAAGTATTTAAAACAAAACCCTTTTTTTTTTTTTTTTTTTTTTTTGCATAAAGTTTATCAATATTGCTACCGGATCTCATAATCGTGTAGGGTTGATGAGGAAGTAGAACTTAAGGAAAATGGATGAAAGGAGATGTAAAAATAATAATTAGATAAATATATTATTTTAATCATAAAAATTTATAAAAATATGTGACATGTTTAATAGAAAAATTGATGGAGGGACCTTTGATGCCATGAAGTTTAAACATTATTTTTTATTTTTTATTGAATTGAAGCTATTACTATTTTTTTCGCGGAAAAAAAATTAATTTTGGGCTATTTTAAGATTTATAACCGGAATATTTGAAAATAGTATATTAAAATAGAATAATTATATATTTCAATTGGGTCAAAATATTATTTTAGCCCACATATTTTAGATTTCATCCTATTTTAGTTATTATACTATCAATTTTTTAAAATGTCTCGTACTTTATAATAAATTTCAAGTTTAGTCATTTGGATTAAATAATTAAAAAAATGATATTTTAAAGTCTTAAATTTTTAACCCGTTGCCTTTCTTTTTCTCTTTTATTAAATTGGCTAAAAAATGGACTATCCGAGTTCTAAGGTACGGCGCCAAAATCTGCCCCCACGCCTAAGACCGACGATTGATGAAAGAGACGAACAGTTCTTGCAGCTAAACCTCCATGGGAGAATCGTGAAAGATAATCTGACAAGTTGCTTAGGCTCGGATATCGATCTGTAAGCATTCTATTCAACCTATTTCTTGATTTTCTGGTTAATGTCTATTCAGATTACTTCAATTTCCCCTCTGCGAGCTGTTGTTCAATTGATAGAATTCTAATTAGGTTTGCAGGAAATTGGTCTGCACCTTGAATGTCTACGACTGAATCGTTGTATTTCAGTGTAATTTAGAGCGTGCGTAAAGGACTGTGGCTGAAAGATTTACAGAAATTGAAAATTTGACGATTAGGAAGATTGTATCTGAGTTGTGCGAATAGATTTTAAGTTCTGCAGTTGAATTTGAACCATTTGCTTATTTTTACTAACTCTAAGCTATTTGGTTCACGCCCACAAGGTAATGGGCAGAGCGGATTTAGATTAAAGAGAGATTTCGCATATTATTTCTAAAGACAAATTTCATATGATAAAGTTGTGAAGAGATAAAGGAACTGTCAGCTCCAAGCAGCAACTGAGGACATATGGAACTCATAAATCTGTCTTTTCATCGTTTTATCGTTTCTTTGAAATGACCAAGGCATGAAGGAATAGATATGTGATGATTTCGTTTATTTTAAGATTCTATATAAAGAAGTTATGTGTTCCTCAATAAAAGTACTTGAATATTGCTTGCAGTTCAAGATAATGTAATGGCATTTCCAATGAGGTTGTTATCCCCTTATCCAAGAACCAGTAAGCTTCAATCTCCAAAATATGCGAAAACAAGAGTTTCGGTTCCCGGCCTCGCAGCATGCTTTTACAACACTTATGTGCTCCATGGTCAACTTCACCATCACTCTTTTTCCTTCTATGTGACCAAACCTTCAGTGCTAAAGAACTTCAAGTAAGTTACTTAAGGTAGCTGTAATTGCTAGGGACTATGTTAGGTTAGGTTAGTTATGCTATTCTTTTATGGCGTTACGAGCATCAAAATGTTGAATTTGTTCAAGAAATGCAAGTTATAAAGTCAGTCAAGCAGCTTGTTTTCTTCCCTTCCTGCATCTCTTGATTATTGTACTCTACAAATTGTACACTATAGTTTCCTTACTTGGTAGAACACTTGAACTTCGTAAATTCATTGCAAAGCCTATAGTAAAATTTCTCTTGGGCCCTTGGCAACACAAGGGAAATAATGATTGTAAACTTAAGGGTGCACCTCAAAGGGAAACGGTGATATGCCATATGTGAAAGACAACAGGATGGCATAATGTTGAGCAAATATTCTCATAGCCTTCACAGGCGTAAACTTTTTAAGCTATCTTTAACGTTACTTGAGAAGAATCGTGGTTGTATGATTAGTCTATGTTTGTAATTTGTTATTATTCTTTGTGGTACAGGAAGATGGCCTTATCCATTAGGAGCAGTGTGGAAGAGAGTCCATTTGATCCTCCTTCAAATAGCTCGAATGGCAGAACGAGACTGACACGAATTATTTCAGCTATTCAAACCAAGTTGAATGCGAGAATTAACGAGTTAAGGAAAAATCTTCCATTGAAGATACTCTTCTTCTTGGTTGGGTTTTACAGTGCAACTGCATTTGCAACTGTTATTGGTCAAACAGGTGACTGGGATGTTCTATCTGCTGCATTGGCTGTGGCTGTTGTGGAGGGGATTGGGGCCCTCATGTATAGGGCTTCTCTTCCCCTTTTGAACAAGATTAAAGGCCTAATAACCATGTTCAATTATTGGAAAGCTGGACTTTCCATGGGTCTTTTCTTGGATTCTTTTAAATATGAAATGGATGATATTTTTGGGTTACATAACCTCTTCCATTTATACTTAGAAAATGTAATTCATATCATTTATTAACAATTCAAATTCATTGCTGTATATCTTCAAATTGCATTAACTTGGGTTTATTCTTTTCCAAGTTCTGAGTTCAGAGGATGGAACCTCCAATTCATGGATCTGAAGCCTTGGGACAAACATGGTTGCTGTTTGAAGGATTTCCTAAGAACTGGCGCTTTTTGATTTCCATTGTCTAACCAACTAGCTCAACCATCTAGACGAACATGGTTGTTGTTTGAAGACTTACCTAAGAACGGTGAGTAACTTGACAATGCTTTTTGATTCCCATTGTCTAACCAACTAGCTCAACTTTCTAGACGAACTCATGGTTGTTGTTTGAAGACTTTCCTAAGAACTGTGAGTAACTTGACAATGCTTTTTTATTCTCGTTGTCTAACCAACTAGCTCAACCTTTTAGATGAACATGGTTATTGTTTGAAGACTTTCCTAAGAACTTTGAGTAATTTGGTGATGCTTTTTGATTCACGTTGTCTAACCAACTAGTTCAACCTTAGACGAACATGGTTGTTGTTTGAAGACTTTCATAAGAACTGCGAGTAACTTGAGGACACTTTTTGATTCCCATTTTCTAACCAATTAGTTCAACCTTCTAGACGAACATAGTTGCTGTTTGAAGACTTTCTTTTTGAGTCCTATTGTCTAACCAACCAGCTCAACCTTCTAGACGAACATGGTTGGTGTTTGAAGACTTTCCTAAGAACGGCTATCATAATGCAAGTTGGATTCCTTCTATAGCCGCCACCCGTTTGCGACATCCATGTCTCAACGGTTCGGTAGCACATAGGTAGCTGCCAATAGCACTTGACACAACTAATTTTGCAGAATTCCATCGGATCAGTTGGGGATGAATGGCAATGCAGAGCTAATCTCATTTTGATCCCTAAACTTCAACATTTGTTCCATTTTGATCCATACTCTTTTCAAAAGGTAACATGTCAAAAAGTTTTAACGTCTTTTGACCTATCAGCTTGAATAATGTTGATTATAAAGTTAGACACAGTATGAAATTTAATCCTAATTTTAATTTTGGTAAGAAAAGTAATATAAAAATATTCTTTTAATTTATAAATAAAAGACTAATAAATACTCTTTAGAAAGAAAAAAAAAGTAATAAAAATAGAAATATAAGGAAATAATATTGTTTAAGAAAAAAAAATCTTACTTTATTTGCCGCTTTTTAACTGTCACGGGGCGGCAATTGGAAAGAACGCTCTTCCACTGTGCTGATTGGCCCATTCATTCATTCATTCACTCCATCGACTCGCTCGCCCTTCATCGGTAAGTTCCGATGCTCTTTTTGTCCTTCTCCATTTCCATTTTCATTTCATGATTCTGCTTCAGTTCTGTTTTTATCTTTTTCCCTGAGCTCTTGCGTTTGGATTTGTGAAAGATCCTTTGAGTTTCACGAGTTGCGAATTGCACTGTTTTTTTGCTCTTCGTGTTTTCTTTCTTGAGTCTGTATTTGCTGCTCGTTGCTGTTATTGGAGGTTGATTTGCTTGGGGGCCGGAAAGCTCCTACTGATAGGAAATTCTCTACCATTACTTAAATATGTTAAATATGTTTGTATCGCCGCAAAAGCCAAAGGAAACACTCCTTTCCTTCTCCGATCGGGGTGGGACCCCAATCTGCTCCCTCCAGAGTCCAACTCCTTGCACCAACGTGGGATCTCACAGTCCATCCCCTTCAGGGCCTAGCGTCTCGCTGACACTCCTTCCCTTCAATCCACTCCCTTTGGGACATAAAACTCATCATTTCTTCAAGGCCCAGCGTTTGCACCTCCTCGGATCAAGGAAGCCATCCGGTGCGGGAGCACAAATCCAACTTCAGAGCCTCTGTGAAGTTTTCATGAAATTAACTTAGTATTTTATTCTTTGTAACAACTTAAGCCCACAGCTAGTAGACGCGTTTTAAAAATTTTGAGGGGAAACTCGAAAGGAAAAGTCCAAAGAGAACAATATCTACTAGCAGTGAGCTTGAGATTTTACAAATAGTATTAGAGCCAGACACTAGGTAGTGTGCCAGCGATGACGCTAAGCTCCAAGGGGGTGGATTGTGAGATCCCTCGTTGGTTGGAGAGGGAATCAAAACATTTCTTATATGGGTGTCAAAACTCTCCCTCCCTCCCTCCCTAACCGACATTTTTTAAAAATCTTGAGGGAAAGTCCAAGAAAGACAATTTCTGCTAGTGGTAGGCTTGAGCTTTTACGTGGTTGATAGTAGCTTAATCCTCTGTTCTTCTCTGTAATTGACAATATTTTCTATTCTTCAAGATGGTAAATCATAATTTGTTTTGTAGTCTTGTATTTAAGATTTTGAAATTAGGCATGAATGATGACATGTGGGCTTTTACGTTCTGATTTCAGAAGCTAATTGTGAAACCTATGGGATTTTGAATGTGTATTGTGTTGTCTGGACATTCATTTACCTGCAAGTTGGACTACATGACAAGACAACAAAGTTCTATGTTAGCTCAAATTATGAAATCCGTTGGCAATAACATGGCAGTGGAAAAACAATGCTTTTGTGATGCAGGGAAAGAACTTACTGACCCCAGAGTGCTAACTGGCGTTGGTGATGTCCCTGTCCAAGAAATCAGGGACTGTGGTGTAGATGATGAAAGATTGATGAAAGTTGTGAGCGAGTCTGTAAAGCTGGTCATGGAAGAGGTGAGTCACTCCTGAACTTATTTTTCTTTTAATCCATCATTTTTCTCCTCAGACTTGGATCTAGTGTCTACTGTAGTTTCTGGATCAACATTCAGTAATCTTTATCCATCAGAATCCACCACGCCCATTGGTTTTAGGAGGCGACCACTCCATATCTTACCCCGTTGTCAGAGCTGTTTCTGAGAAGCTTGGGGGTCAAGTTGATATCCTTCATCTAGATGCCCATCCTGATAATTATAATGCTTATGAAGGAAACTATTTTTCACATGCTTCTTCTTTTGCACGAATTATGGAAGGTGGTTATGCCAGGCGACTTTTGCAGGTAACTTTCTTTCCTCTGAATCTCATAAGCATGAATCAAAACCTTGTTGCCACTCGTATATTATTACTGATGTTCTACTGAACTTGAGTAATGGTTTTTCATTTCAGGTTGGTATAAGATCAATCTCTCAAGCAGGAAGAGAGCAGTGCAAAAGATTTGGAGTGGAGCTATATGAAATGCCAACCTTTTCTAGAGATCGCGACTATTTGGAAAATTTGGTACTGTGTTTCTTCTATGATCCTTGCTAGGCGTTGTCTGCTTTGCTTTCCTAACTCTTACTGTATCATATGATATGCAGAAATTGGGGGAAGGCGTAAAGGGTGTTTACGTTTCAATAGATTTGGACTCTCTCCCTCGATCCAGCATTCGCTCCTGGAGTGTCTCATATTGAGCCAGGAGGTTTGCATTCGCTCCTGGAGTGTCTCATATTGAGCCAGGAGGTTTGTCTTTCTGTTGTGTTCTGAACATCATTCACAATCTCAAAGGGGATATCGTGGGCGCCGACGTCGATGAGTTCAACCCTCAGCGAGACACCGTCGATGGGATGACAGCCATGGTTGCTGCCAAGTTGGTAAGAGAACTCACAGCTAAGATGGCAAAGTGAAAAAAAGGAAGCCTCGTCTACTTCATCTATTAGGTTTCTTGCTACTGTTCTTAATCACCCAGTAACTACCAGTGAAGTGAGAGTGATGAGCCAAGGTTTTATATGTACTTCAGGCAATATGGTTTATCATTCAAAAGTTGAAGGAACCATATATATGGAATAAAAATTGAAAATCGTCCTTCTGCGTCATCCCAAAGACGATAATATTTAGAATGGTTGGAGGTTCAAATCTTCGGATTCTAAAAAAATTCTAAAATAAAATGAGTAATGTTTAAACTAAGACTGGAACTTGTATTATTGCCAAACCTCTCTTATCAAAGATGATAATATCCATGCTGTGGCTCAACAGTCTTTGTTCCCTGCAATTTTCCTGTCTAAAAAAGATTCTTACTTGAACTCACTATCAAACTCCTCTTCTAGGTCTTCATCTTGCTTCTCTATTATAGAACCTTTATACCTTTTGGCACAGACAAGGTACAAGACCAAGTTGAGAGCAGTCAAAGTGGCTGATAGAAAGAAAAACCGGTCCAAATGACCGTCGTTCAGGTTCGGGGGAACCCAACCGGGCTTACCATTAGTTTTTGTGATAGCCATTACAGTAGTTAAAATCAGGCTTGCAAGATAACTCCCCATTGCTGATGAAGACATGGAAAGTCCCATTCCCAAGCTTTTCAATCCGTCTGGTATTTGTGATGTGAAAAAATCCATCTGAGCTACGTAAACAAATGCTTCGGAGACCCCCACGAGTACATATTGTGGCGTTTGCCAGAAAATACTCAAAGAACTAGTTTCTTTACCAGTAACACTTGCATACTTCAACCGTCTTTGCTCGACAAAGCCTGCAATTACAAGTGCTACTACTGTAATGGCTAGGCCGATCCCAATCCTTTGTAGCTCACTTGGTGGTTTTGGCTTTCGTTTTGTAATTCTGATGTATAAAGGAACAAGGAGCCTGTCGTAAAGCATGATGAACAAGGTCGTGCTTACAATGTCGAAGGCGGTCATGCTGGCTGGAGGTATATGGAAGTTTGACACAACGAGGGTGTCCATGGCAGCTCCTTGTTCAACAAAAAGAGAGAGCATTTGAATGAACACAACAGAGGCGAAAATAGTGCACAACCAGACTGGAAGAAGCCTCAAAATGCATTTCACTTCCTCAACCTGACTGACAGTGCAAAGTTTCCATGGATTTGCCGTTTGCCCTTGGTTGCATATCAAGTTTGTCTCCTCTTCTGTAAGAATGGCTGCTCTGTCCAAAAATCTGCATTATTCAAAAAAAAAAAAAAAAAAAAATGTTCATCTACCAAAAAGTTTCAGGTCAGCATCTTGATTATTGAGGCTTCAGTCATATCACAACTACCCCCATACATACATACATATATATATATAGCTGTTCAATATCTTCACAGGTTAATAATAAAACTTTTTAGAAGTGTAATGTGTTTTTAGAAAATATAACTAAGAATAATTTTAGTAAATTCATTTTACTTAGATTACAATTACAAAAATGGAAAATTATGATAAAACACCTCAGTGTCTCATAAAGTTATCACTTAAAGTTGACATTCATTTTTATCTAAAACCTTTTTTAATTATATCACACGAAGAAAAAAGAAAAAAGAAAGAAAAAAGAAGACCCACTTACTTGAAGCCTTCAGTGTGAAGCATTCTCCTTGTACCCTCTTTCCCCCCTGGGCCTTCATAA